AAAAAAAAAAAAAAAAACTACTCACCATATGATATTGTTTAAAGGAGATTACCTGATTTTGAGGAAGAGCTCACAGAGGTTGGAATGACATAGCCACCACTAAATGCGGAAACATTTTTCTTTCGCTTCCACATGCACCAAGCAGCTATTCCAATGATACCAAGCAACAGGAGACCTAGAGCTAGGCCAATAGCCACTGTGCCTAGTGTACCAATTCCCCCATTACCTGTAGAGTTTAAGCTTCCTGGTGCAATACTGCTGGAATTATTGGTTGGTGGATTAACTGATGGAATTTGAGAAGATGGAGGAGAAGGGGATGGTGGGGACACAAGTCCTGGAGGGGGTGGTGACAGTTTTTTTAATGGTGGCGGTGGTGATGATCTTGGGGGAGAATTTGAGGGGGGAGGAGATGCCGGTGGAGAACCAGGAGGGGAAAGAGCAGAAGGTGGGGGTGAATTAACGGGTGGTGTTGCTGCCGGTGGAGGAGGTGAATTTCCTGGAGGGTTTGATTCTGGTGGTGGAGGCGAACTTTGGGGTGGCTTAGAGGCTGGTGGTGGAGGTGGTGGATTTTGAGGAGATTGTGAAGGTGGTGGTGGAGGTGAACTCTCTGGTGGTCTTGGTGATGGAGGAGGAGGTGGTGAATTCTTTGGTGGTTCCAATGGTGGTGGAGGAGGCCTTGCTGGAGGATTAGATGAGGGTGGTGGAGGTGTCCTAGCTGGTGGATTAGAAGATGGAGGTGGTGGTGAACTAGAAGGTGGATTAGATGGAGGTGGTGGGGAATTAGGAGGTGGACTGGGTGAAGGTGGTGGTGGTGAGCTAGCTGGAGGATCAGATGGTGGAGGTGGCAAACTCTTCGGTGGAGTTGATAATGGAGGTGGAGGAAAACTTGGAGGAGGATTTGGTGGTGGAGAATTAGAGGATGGGGGTGGCACAATGTCTGGAGGAGGAGGAGGAGGAATAGATTGAGGAGGTGGCGGCAATGTTGTAGGAGGAGGTAGTGGAGGGGGGGGCAATGGTGAGGCTGGAGGAGGAGATGTAGGAAGAGGGGATTGAGGAGGTGGGGAAGGAGTAGGAGTTGCAGTGGGTGAACTCGTATTGGGCGGAGAAGATGGTTGAGTTGGAGGGTCTGGTGGAGGAGATGATGGCTGAGGAGGTGGCGTAGTTGAAGCTGGTGGGACAGCAGAGGGTGAAGAATTTGGAGATGGTGCTGCAGTAGCCATCTAACCAGTATCAATTTTATATAAAACTTTCATAAAAATCATCAAAATGTGCTATCTTCATTGATAAATCACCAAGAAATCGTTTGACAGCGACTTAATTCATTCTATAACCAAATCAAAATCTATAAACAATTATCAATTGATTTCAAATTCACCACATATTTACATCCCACCTTTGAATTCATTCAAAATTCACCAGCCACCTGCCCAAAATCTAATCTTGAGCAGAACCCAGGGAACACTCCCCGGTCTAAGACAACATTAAATCACCTGTGTACGCTGAACTTTCGTCCATCTCATCAAACACCCGAACCCAAAACACAAAACCATTATCAGAATCAACCCCTAATTATCAAACAGACTTTGTGCAACCATACAATCAAGAACGTGTAGAGCAAAACCCAGATCACCAGTCACGTTTTATAGCAAAACCCAGATCATCAAACGCAATCTCAGCAAAAACCCAGATACCAAAATCAACAAAAACTACCAAAAACCTCAATTCCACTTCAGACGACACAAACATTCACATGTAATGATGCAAGTACCATCACATTAACATTCCAATGCAAAATGCAAGAGACCCATTTCACCAAAATGAACAAATATCACAACCCAAATGCAAAAAATCCCAGAAACCTTACACCTTTTCTCTGTATCTAGAATCAGCAAATGTGGAGTTTGTAGCCAATGTTCCACAGACTATGTACACCAAATGAAGATTCTTTCAGCCTTGGAAGCTCAAACCCAAAACACGGAAAATGGGGCCTCCCAAATCCGAAGCAGAACTAAGCTTTGGATTGTTTGAAAATTATTGCATAAACTATCCTTAATTTTTAATCCTAATTTCATTGTCATCAGCGTAATATGCACATAGGGATTGGATTGGTAATTGATTGCTTTCATTTAACGTCAAAACATATATATATTAATTGTCTTCGAGGTAAGCAACGTACTGGCAATGCAGATTGTCAGCGCCTAAAACTAAGACCATTATTTTGTCTAAGTACTTCTCCTAAGTTGGATTTTTTCTTTATTTTACAACTCAGCTTTCAGTGTTCAGTTGCTCTATTTTGTTTTACCTCATGTACATACATGTAAATATATATACATATTTATTAATTGTGTATAAAAAAAAAAGTTAATAGCATTTTTATCCTTAAAATATGTACTTTTTATTAGTTTAGTTCTTAAAATTTTAATTTTATCAATTTAATTTCTAAAATATTTGATTCGTGTTTAAATAGTCTCGACATAGACGAACTGTCAAGTTTTTTACAGAATAATCATATGTTGGGTATATGATTTAATCTGAAAGAATGACACGTCGTCACTTTAGTCAAAATTTTTTTTACGAATTTGACAAAATTAATAGAATAAAAACCAAACTGACAAAATATATATTAGGGACGAAAAACGATATTAACCCAAAAAAATAATGCAATATATTTGTTTTTTGCTTGCATATAATTTTATTAATTAATAGTTTTTGTGACATGTGCGATGTGTACGTGTGTAATGCATATGGTATAAAATATTTTTGATAGAATATTGATCGTGGGTTTGTGTGTGTGAGAGAGAGAGGGGTGAGACAAATTTAAAAGGAAGAGAAACATAGAGTTATGAGATTGTGGAGATTTTTACACAAGTTAACTGTAATTAATTAAAGTTAAACAATTATTTATTTTAAAAATTTAAGTTATTGGAAAAGTAGTATACTTTAAATATTTATATTTCAATACGTTCTCTCACGTGCATGCTAGATTTTGAGCTTAGCACGTGAAATTTTTATTAATAATTAAAATAACAATGAGATTTGAACATGAGATTTTCTGCTCTGATTCTATATTAAACAACTATCTATTTCAAACAAATAGTAATAAGTTATAGATTGCTACTTAACTACTAATAAAGTGAGAAGACAATTATACTGATATCAAGTTACTTTCTTCTACCGCATCAAAATTAATCAATTAGATCTGTGAATGATCCCGTCTCATGGAATGGAGATCATTGGTTCAAATCACACTTTGAGTATGATTCTTTCCCCAAATAAAGTTATTCATGGATATATACCATAAGACCAGGTCCAGCCCTTGAAAACTCAACCATAGTAAAGGTTGTCAACACATAGAATATTGATTCACGACCTTTAGAATATTGTTCATTTGGACTTTTTCTATACATGGCCTCGAGTTTGACTGAAATTTTTTAATGCATGTAATCAAACTTTTTCTTTCTATACTTGATCTTATAAAATTTAGGTGTATGAAGGAGTTTGTAAAAACTAAAAAAATACAAGATTATTAAAATGAATACACATCTTCTTCTTTTTTTTAAGGTAAATCTCCCTTTACACTTCAAAAGATGCTTTGATTTTTAATTTATGTTCTCAAACATTAAAAACATCAATTTATACCCTTAATTTTATAAATTAGTAGCAATGTGTACTCGCCAAACTATCGTTCAGTTTTTCGTCATAACTTGAAGTGCCAGAATCGCAAGTGTATCGGGCATAGACTTATGTGTAAATTCGAGATTGTTGACGTCTCATGTGAGTTGTGCATGATATAATTAACATATATCTAATTGAGGAGATTTTATTTCTTATACATAAAACGATGTCAAATTGATCATAGATGAAGATTTGCGGCGATGGACATAGTTCATCCTTATGCACAAAACACTTTTTTTTTGGGAATGATAGGGGAGAAGTGAGTTTGAACCCTTAACCTAAAAAAGACAAAACTTTCATAAGATAAGAAGTACCATTGAACCAAAGACTCACTTGTTTATGCACACAACACTTGCACCTGATATAATTCAATTTATGACGAAAAAACTAAGCGATAGTCTAGGTCAGATCTAAATTGCTACAAATTCATAACATTATAGGTGCAAATTAAAATTTCTAATATTTGAATATGCAAATGAAAAATCAAAACATTTTTCAAAATACAAAATGAGATTCTTTCTCTTTTTTATATACAATTGCCACTTTTCATCACCATAACTCGAATGCGGTTTTTTCTTTCTCAATTAAAAATCATTTCAATCATTAATTTTTTTTTATTTACATAGTTGCAACGTGAATTCAAGATACGCGTATTGGGCCCAACCTAATGGGGTTTTTAAGTAGACTTGGCTGTGTTGGAATATTTTGGTCAACAGGTGTCGGTGGGGCTAAAGTAGTAGGGGACATTGAAGGAATGAGACAAGGAGATACCAAGATAGGTCTCTGCCACCATACTCCACGCAAATATTAATAGAGCCCCTTGCCCATAAAACACATTCAACCACATCAATGTGTACTTGAGTCAAGAGGCCCCCAAAAATACATGACTTAGTCCTAAATCGATTTAGGTTGTAGCACAACCGTATAAAAATCGGCAGTCAATGCATCAGGTTCTCGTTATTACAGGTCAACGGAAGGTTACGTGTGCAAAATTTTACCTCATATACAAAAAGGTTGCTTCTGCAATATAAATATTATAAAGAATTACACTCACACTCTCTAAGATTTATCACTTAATCACTCAGATTCTTTAACATTTGAAATATTACATTCACACTTCCTAAAGTTTATACATGCGTAACACTTGGACCCTTGTTGTAAATATATCCATTAATAAATTACAATCAGACTCTTTGAAGTTTCTAAACATATATTATTTAGACTCCTTAAGTTTAAAATGTTATATTTAGACCAAAAATACTTCAATTAAAAATAGAATATTAAATATTTTAAATTTTACAATTAAAATTCATATTCTATTATATCATTTATTAAAATAAAATAAAAAATTCAAATTTATTTTTTTTAAAAAAAATTATAATTAGTATACCATATGATTTGGGAACACCATAGTGCTAGCATATCAGTGTACGCCCAGTGATCAGGCATCGACGCTCCTGTCTCAAACAGTGCGTCATATTCCATAATACACAATACACAATACACAATACAAGGCATTATCCAATCACATAAGCACATAACACATAATCTTGGAGAAATGCTATTAAATTCTATCATCTAACATCATCTTATAATAACATTTTCAAAATATATAAAAATATACACCTACCTCAAATATACTGATCTACGGCCCTTTGGTTCTATCGGTAGATCCTTCCGGTGTTTTCGTAATCGTCTTTATACCAACTTTCATACTTGTTCCACCTAACACATCAATATTAACATGTTTATCACATTGAATAATTAATTATGCACTAATGCATGCAAGATAATTCAACCCAAAGTGCCCCGGTAACCCCAGTTACCGCACTGTTCACTCACATACTTACACATTAGATTTAGGGATCATATTTCTTCCTCAAATCTTTAAAACCACTCACATTAATCACAACTAAGATTTAGTAGGTCAAACACATTGATTGGGGCCCATTTTCCCACATTTTGACCCTGAATTTCAAAAATTGCACTTCTGTCATTTCGTACATTCTGCACCGGATATTATATTCATTTGCATTTGAAATTTACATTATCACATAAAACATCAATTAAAAATGTTGCATGCAAAATTTCAGGTCATTTGAATTAAAATTCACTCGTGTAATAATAATATTTAGAAATCAGGGTTTCGACATTACCGACACCTATTTCTAATTTCTATCGTACTTTTCTTTTAAAATCACTACACTTAAATTCATATACACATTTAACCAATGTCAAACAGTCCCTAATTGAGCCTTTAAACCATCCATTTTATTTTCAAAATTTTCGTTTCCAACCTAGTCCACTAAATGTTTCCCGAATATCTCAAATGATCATTTTTACACTTTTCGTACACTCGGTTGAGTACCTATTTAATACCCCTTTTTAACAACCCCTAATTTTGTATAACACCCTTAATAAAATCTTTTTTGAACTTAAAATAAAACAATCCATTATTTGAACACAAAACAACCCACTAATTATATTTAATACACTTAATTTAAACTCACCAAAATATGCTTTAAAATTACACTAAAACAATTTC